GCATCTCCGCGGTCCGGCCCGGGGCCCCAGGATCCCGGCTATCTTCCGCCCCGGTAAGTAAGCGAGAGGCCACTCCAGACCATCCACAACAGTCCCGCCGGAGGAGGCAGTGACCCGGCGGTGACAGCTGTCAGGGCCGCGGCCGCCGCCTCGCCTCCCCTCCCCCCTCGGCGGCTCCCGCAGGCGGGGCCGAACAGTCGCCGCCTCGCCTACCCGTGTTGTAGACGTGCAGCTCGTCCGCGATGCCCTCGTTGCCCCCTCCAAAGATGATCATCAGCTCCCGGATGGCCACGGCCCGGTGTCCGTGCCGGGCGCGGGGAACCGGCCCCGTGAAGGAGGAAACCCGCCTCCAGTTGAGGAGGCTGGGAGCCGCCATCTTCCCAACCCCCGCCCCTCTGCCCACAATGCACCGCGCCCGCTCCGGCGCCCCGACTCCCGGGGGAGGGCGGGGACCCGCCTCCAGCTGTGCGCCGGGGGCCCGAGCCGGGGCGGGATGTCCACGTGACCGCGAGCGCCCGCGCGGAGGCGGCGGCCTGCGGGGGCGCCCACACGTCCCGACTGGGGGCCCACCCCCGTCCCCGGGCGACGCGGCCGGCTTGAGCACCGGTGGCAGCGGTACTTAGGGTGCTACGACGCTTCCTCCCACCCAGGCACGCTCCCCACCTGGGGCCTCCCGTTTTGTACTTGCGGGAGACGGTGAAGCGTTTTCTTCCCTCGTGGCCGCTTGAACTGGGCACCTGGGATGTGCGGGCGAGTCTGACCCTTCAAACAATTACAACACAGCCCCAGCGCAGGTGCGGGGGGCGCGGGGAGAAAAGAGGGGACTCCCTCTTTGTGAAAGGCGGCCCTGCGCCCCCAGGGGCTGAGGTCGCCGGGAAATCGGGAGGGAACCCCGGCGAGCGGCCCTCAGCGTTGCGCACCCGTGGTGCTGGACGCACTAGAGGGAAGGTCGGCGCTCTGCAGGCAAAGGCAACCTGGCACCTTTGGTTTGGGGGGTGCTTTGCGGATAAGTTTAGGAACGGAGAGCCGCGCAAGGCGTTTTTGTTTAGTGCAAGCAGGTGGGAGGTTGTATAACCATTTCTCTTTTCCCTCTACGACACTTGAGGTTCTTGCATTGGCAGGAGCTATCATAATTACCAAGTATTTAACTCATGTTTCCAGCAATCCAGTAGCGTGGGTCCGTGACACACAGCGCCAAAGGCTTGCAGTCAGAATTCAGAAGCAGGACTTCTGGTTCCTAAACCCCATCCCTAATCACTGCGATACTGCCGCCAGCACAGGGATATGTAACCCTATTAAAGCCCTCTGACAGATCCTAAACAGAATCACTCAGAGATAGCAAGCCCCGGAAAGAAAAACAATCGAAAGAAACTAAAATCCCCGTCTCAGCCTCACACACCACGTATAGTAACTTCCCCCAAATTCCTTTTTCCTAATTTCCAGTTTCTCTCCTATGCCCACCTCACCCTTTCCCGGCAACACCCTCAGACCTAAGCATGCACTTCTCTACCTTCTCACCCACGCGAGCTTTCTTTTGAGAGGTTATTACCTTTAAAAAGATGTTCTCACTGTTCTTTCCAGCTCCTGCTTCTCAAGTTTATCCTCTACGGATTATTACCCCCATTTCATAGTCTGGTCAAAGATAATTTGGATGGGAAGGGGAGAAGTCACTAAGAACAAAGCAAGGAGACTATGAATACTTATGTATTAATATTTTTCTTTATTACACCATACATGGGCCCTTAAGTGTTTCTGTTACACAGTCTTTGGATCTGAAACAAAACTGGAAAGGTTAGGCTAAAGCACTCAGTTTTTCATAAAGCCTAAAGTATTTCAGTTGAAGAGCTGCATTTTATTCTAAGACCTTCAGGTTAAATGTTCTAATTTTTATGGATGATGCTGTCAGTAGATGGTAGTTTTTTCCCAATACCCTCATAGCAATAGAATAAGGCAAAAATTTACAATTGCAAGCTCTATGCTGCGATTGATACTTTAAAGAACTATGTTTGACCCTATACTTGAAAAAAAAAAAACTATATTTGAAAATTTGATAATTCCTGAAGAAAGGAAAGCATGAAGGCAAAATAATCTTAAGACAAAAGATTGCGAGTAAACCTGGTTGCTTAGATAAGGGAGCTGTAGGAAAATGGAGAACACAAGTATTAATTTCCCAGGGCTCCTCTAATAAAGCACTGCAAACCAGATGGCTTAGAATAACAGAATTGTATTGCCTCAGTTTTTGAAGCTAGGAATCCAAATCAAGGCCCTGTCAGCACGGCGATGCTCCCTCTGAAACCTGTAGGGAAGAATACTTCCTACAGCCTCTTTCTAACTTTTGATAGTGGCCACCCATCCTGGGCATTCCTGGCTGGTAGCTGTAAAGATCCGGTTTCTGCCTCAATCTTCCGATGATTCTCCCTTGTCTGTCTCTTCTTATAAGTTCACTTGTCTTGCTGGACCATCCTAATGACCTACAAAGACCCTTCCTGTGTTCAAATCAGGTTACATTCACAGGGTATTTATTTGACTTGAACTTACCTTTGGGGGTGGAGAACACAACTCAATCTATGACTAAATGGTCTTTCTGATGGGAAAGATGTTTCCCCAAGCAGCTTTGCCTCAATTCTGCTTAAGTGAAAACTCCAGAAGAGAGTCCCAGTTCTCAAGAAAGCTGCCTTCAATCTTTGAAAATACAGAAAGGAAGCTACACTCCATGAAGAGAGTAGAGAAAAGGAAGAGAAGAGTGAGGGAAAATAGTGGCCTGTAAAAGCCAACAGGTAGGAGGTAAATACAGAAGGAGACACTCAGAGTAAATGCATAATGAATAATCAGAGAGGTCAAAAGGGAACTGGGTGAGGGTGATGTCAAAGAAGCCGCAAGCAAAGGGTTTTTCATAGAGGCGGAAGTGGTTATCTAAAGCCAAATGCCATAAAGAGATCAGATAAGGGAAAAGACTGAATGAGGTATCTGTTGGATTTTTGAATTAGGGAGTTATGAGTGGCACAGATTAAAATACTTTTAGTGGAGTGGGAGATGGGAAAGTCAGAGATGCCCAAAGGATGGGTAGCAGGTAAGGAATCACAAATATCAATTCCATGTACAGTCTACTTTTTATAGAGGAAAAAATGCCAGGAATAAGGAACAGTGGCTGGACTGGAGAAGCTGGGCTCAGAGAGGCTGTTATTATTTCTGCAAGGATGAGACCTGAGCAAGACCATGGACCCAAGAGAAGTTATCCAGGTGACAGGGAAAGAGTGAAGGAGCAGTGGAGTGGAGGAGATGTCTTAATCTGTTTGAACTGCTATCACAAAATACCATAGACTGAGTCTTAGAACCAACAGAAGTTTCTTCCTACAGTTTTGGATGTTGAAGTCCAAGGTCAGGGATAAGCGTGGTCAAGTTCTAGTGAGAACCTGCATACTGGGCTGACTTTTTGTTATGTCCTTATACAATGGAAGGGGAGAGAAAACACAGGGTCTTTATTAAAAGGGGGCTTATAACATTCATGACCTAAGCTAAGCATCTCTTAAATTTCTCACCTCTTGATAGTATCACCTTGGATGTGAGGAATTCAACATATGACTTTGAGGAGACACAAACATTCAGATACTTGTAAGAGAATGTGTTATTTGGAAAAGCAGTCAATCAAATGTGGCAGAATACCAACATATAGTGGCTAAATGATAAAACTCTTCATTATCTTGGAAAAGAAAACTCAAAGGGTAGTTGAGAGTTGATGAGATCATGATTCTAGGTAGTGACCTTGTCTTTCTCTTGATCTTTCTTTTATGGTTCAGGGAAGGCTGGTGTATCTCTGGACATTGTATCTGCACACAGCCATGCTCAAAAGCCCAAAGCAGAAAGACAGCCAGGATGGGGAGAGAAAACTCTCCTCTTACAGGGAGGCAAAACACCTTGCCCAGAAGCTACCCAGCATCCTTGCCCTTAATTTCATTGACCAAAACTTGGGCACTTTTGTATATTAAGATTACATTAGCTGTAGTGAAAAGCTGAGCATGGCAGCTTGTATCAAGTCCTTGGGCACTTAAGCTCATGACCCTACATGGCTGCACCAGCCCTAGTCATTGCATCTGCATTCCAGTCAGCAAGAAAGAGTAAGAGAAACTCTAGAACACATCCTAGAATTCTGCTTAGATCCCACATGCCAATAATTAGTCACAATTCACAGCTAGTTGGAGGGGGATTGGGAAATTTGGAGTGGCCATTTGACCAGTTAGTCTTCAAGATTCTGTGACAGAAAGAACCGTGGTTATATAGGTATTTTATATTCTACACATATATCATAGAAATCAGAAAGATCTATTGGATGTGATTTGCTAACCTTTTGGGGTTATGGTAAAGAAGGTCGTTTCCTGTCTTACACTTTCTCTCCTTCACTCCCACTCCCCCATCATTTATCTCAGCTCACAGTATAACCCAGGGGTTAAAATTATGGGATTTGGAATCAAGTAGGCATAACCACTGATTGTGGGGCTTTGGCCAGGTTATTTATCCTCAGACTCTTTGCCTATAAAGTGAAGATGATGGTAATATCTATTTCTTAGGGTTATAATGAAGACCAAGTGAGGTAATCCATGTAAAGTACAATAGCTTTTGCTTGGCATAGTAGTCCACAGATGTAAGCATGACCTTATACATTGAAAACCTGCAGAGCAACTTTAACTCATAATGGGACAAATAACAATGGTCCTGTGATCTTTAAAATCTGATAAGGGTTGGAAAAAGCTAAAACTTGCAAACTAACCACAGAGCTGAGGATGGGGAGGAGGGAGAACAAGGGTCAAAACAGGGGAGGGCAGAGCCCACGGGGCTGTGGTGATGCATCATGGGTGCTATGGTGATAGAAGTACTACAGAGACGACAGCTGAGAGGAACAATCGAATACTGTCCAAATTAATGATGCAAAAAAATAAATAAAAATTTAACATATATTTTGTCAATCAGAAATTTTCTTACTGATGATTTTAAGTGTATGTAGAGAAAAAACTAGTAGATGTATTTTCTATCATTCAAACATTTGTATTTGTATCATTCAAACATTGGCAACATTGACAATTAAATGTTTTATTGGATTTTTTGGTATATTGATAGAATGTTTCAAGGATCATTTGATACTTGCCTTCTTGTCGCAGAACCTACCCTACAGAGGAAGCAACTGTCCACAAATTGTCCCCTCCTTTCTAAGTTTGAATCAGCTTTACATATTTTCACTCTTGAACTTTCAGAATTGATCGTTCAAAGTATCTTTCAAAGTTCCATTAACATTAATTTTTTGCCACTGTCACTTCCTCTGGAACATCTTCATGCTTTTCATCACAGCGATGTTCATGACTTCAGCTTTACTAAGTTTCTCTG